ATCTGTGGTGCGATTTTCCAGCCACGGACTTCTCTCAGCTCCTTGCGATTGATAAATCGATCTGGTAATCTGCGCTTTCTTTTTTTTTTTTTTTGTCGATTTTTTTTTTTCCCGATTCGGTGATCTGGCATTGATGGATTGGCGCGTAATTTCTGACTGGTATGTGAACATTCAATGAACTGATTGGTTGATCGGTTGGTTGGTTGGTATATCCTGAAAGCTAGGGTAAGTTTTGACTGACCAATTGATTGAGTGGCTTGTATGTCCTCGTGGGTAACGATTCCATTGATGGCGTGATTGATTGTTTGATCGCTTCGTTTGATTGGATTGGTATTTCGTGTCAGGAGGGTACAAAATTGATTGATTGATTGATTGATTGATTGCTTGATTGCTTGATTGCTTGCTTCGTCGAGTGCTTTACTGATTACTTAATCGATTGATTGCGTGATGGATTGATTGCTTGATCGATTGCCGGATTGATTGGTTGACTGATTGGTTGACTGATTGCTCGACTGATTGCTCGACTGATTGCTCGACTGATTGCTCGACTGATTGCTCGACTGATTGCTCGATTATGACTTTGACTGCTTTTTGGATTCTCTTGATTGATTGATTGATTGAATGATTGCCTGATTGATTGGTCGATTGCGGGATCGTTTGGTTGATCGATTGCTCGATTATGACTTTGACTGATTTCTTGATTTTCTTGATCGATTGATCGATTGATCGATTGATTGATCGCCTGATTGATTGGTCGATTGATTGCTTATTGCTCTGCGCACAGGTAGACTTTCGACCGGTTGATGGGTTGATTGATTAGGACATTGGTCGACCAATTGATTGATCGCTATTTGATGGATCCATCTTTACATATCGATGGATCGTTTAATATCGATCGGTGGATACCCATCAATCAGTCAGTACTGCTCAATCGATCGATGGATTGATTGATTGATTGATTGATTGATTGGTTGATTGATTGATTGATGCGTTTGTTTGATTGATTGATTGATGGATTGATTGATTGATTGATGGATTGATTGATTGATTGAGCGTTTTAATGGTCTCATTGATTGGGTGATTTATCGGTTATTCTCGGATTGCTTGGTGTATGTTGACAGGTAGCGTGCTTGGTCTGCGCTCCTCGCTAAGGAAAGGGAGGAGCGGAGGAGCTGCTGGGAGATATTGGGAGCACGCTAGATGCGTGCGGTGAGACTGGCATTTTGCTCCTCTGCTGGCACATCTTCGATAATCTTCCCTCTCTCTTCTTCCCTCCCTCTTCTTCCCTCCCTCCCTCTTCTTTTCCCTCCCTCTCCTTCCCTCCCTCTCCTTTGCTCCCGATTCTTTTCCCTCCCATCTCCTTCCCTCCCTCTTCCTTGCACCCTGCCTGCGGGAAAATGGCTGCAAAGACGCTCGCGCCCTCGTTTTTCAGGGGGCTGCAGGATGAACTCAAGACATCAGACGAAGTCCACAAGGGCGGAGATCGAGAGATGCGACATACTGTAGGGGTCGGTTCGCATAATTGCCCTGCACCCAATTCGTATAAGGCCACAACCCAGGTGAGCCAGGCAATCCGGTCTAGCCAATGCCTATAACCAACCCTTTAACGAAGCCCACACCCCTACACGGCTATAACCAAGGTTATCGGCTTGGTTATAGCCTTATAGCCTAGTACAGGCTATAACCAAGCCCAGAACCGAGGCTATCACCAAGCCCAGAACCAAGCCCAGAACCGAGGCTATAACCAAGGCTATAACCAACCCGAGAACCAAGGATATGTTGAATAAGTTTTTTTGACTGTTTTTTTGGCAGTTTTGGAAAGTGAAATTGCGTGACTATGCAGGATATTCTGAAGCCGAAGCTGGGTAATGGCCCCGATATCTTAATGTGTCCATATGACTTCAATGGGAAATGGCCCTGTCCCCGGCACGGGCTGCTCCCCACGAATAGATTCGAGCATTTTTCTCAAAAAAAAAAAAAAAAAAAAAAGGTTCGCAAAAAACAAGCCTCTAGTGCAGCAAGGTTACAACCAAGGGTCACATAATTGCACTGCAACGAATAACCAAGGCGGTAACCAAGGCTGGATAGAGTAGAGGTCGCATGACTGCCCTGCAACGAGTACGTAAAAGGCTATAACCAAGGCACTAACCAAGGTTAGACTGAGATAGGTGGAGTGCCAGAAATGGAAATGGAGCGGAGGGAGGAGGGGGGAGGGGGAAGGGGGAAGGCGGAAGGGCAACGGACGAGGGCAAAACATAGTAGAGAGTCAAAACGGGTTCGCAGGGACTAGGAAAGGGCGGAGCGGCAATGGTATATTTTTTTTAGCTTCTCTCTCTCTCTCTCTCTCTCTCTCTCTCTCTCTCTCTCTCTCTCTCTCTCTCTCTCTCTCTCTCGCCTTTCACTATGGATTCCACTACCCATTGGCTTTGTCTCCCTCCCTTACTGTTCCCAACAGAGAAACTTGGAACGGGAGGGACACGTGATGCCTGTTCATCTTGTCAATGTGACTCTCTCTCTCTCTCTCTCTCTCTCTCTCTCTCTCTCTCTCTCTCTCTCTCTCTCTCTCTCTCTCTCTCTCTCTCTCAACTTCTTTCTTGTTGCTGTTTGCCTTCTTCTTCACCAAGGCAAGCTTCTTCTTCTTCTTCTTTTTTCTCAGTAAGACGGGAGGATTGTAGGCGGGCGGCAAGGCAGGGTCAAGAGGTTAGCCCCCTGAGGAGGATCGGAGCGCAACCGATCGAAACGGGTCGGGGAATGTGCGCGTGAGCTGAGATGAGTACGCGCGGCTATGTATTGAAGAGGTTTCGAAGCGTGTACGAAAGGCAGTTGGCCACTGTTTTCACTATTCACTATTCTTCTTCTTCTTCTTCTTCCTTGTGCCCAAGGCAGGCAGGTGTTTTCTTCTTCTTCCCCTTGCTGGTGCTCAAGGCAAGCAGCTCTTGAGTGGGATAGACTTGGTGGGCGCCGAAAGGCGAGGTGGGTGGCTTGCCTCCTTATGAGACGAGGAGGGCAGCTCGTTGAAAAGCGTAGAGGATGATGCCGCAAACTTGAGCAAGTGTTTACAGGCTGTTTCTAATGTACAATTTGTTTGCGTGTAGGAGAACAACTTGGCCATTCCTTGTCGCTTCTCTTCCTCTTCCTGTTCTTCCTGATGCCCAAGTCGAGCGGTCCTCGTTCTTTTTCTTCTTGCCTTCGCACCCCATCCCTGATCCAATACTTGTGAATTGAATATCCCGAACTACCGTAGCCCTGCTGAGGCCTCTTGGAGGCCTTGTAGAAAGGCAGCAAATGCTGAGGCCTCTTAGAGGCCTTGTAGAAAGGCAGCAAATGCCGGAAATTTCTAAATCTGATACTCAGGACTGTCGGAAAGGGCACTGAGACTCGAGCTCGAGGTGGCCTTTTTCTTGTTTTTCGAGGTGATTGTCTTGGAACTGGGAAAAAGATTAAGACAAAAAAGGCACCCCCACCTCATGACTTGCCTGTTTTCTTTTTATTTTTTCGATCATGACTTGGCTGTTTTTTCTGTTTTTTTTTTTTCAATACCTTATAGTTCTTTTTATTTTATTTTATTATTTAGGCCCAGTGCCCATGACTTGGCTGTTTGATTCATTCCTTGCTGACTTCAGGTCTGGTCAGTCCTCATCAGGGGCATCATCGGCCTACCAATTGGTAAGATATGTGCATTACTCAATGCTCAATGCTCTCTCCTGTCTCCTTTTCCTTGCTGTTTGCTTTCCGTTCTTAACCATCCATTTTACTTCGCTGCCTTCTTTTTTCTTTTCTTTTCCCTTCCCCCCCCCTCCCTCCCCTCCCCTCCCTTTTTTCTTCTCCCTTTCTTTTTCCCTTTTTTTTTTTTTCT